GGACTATCCTTGTCGATCACTAAAAATCCATATTTATGTTGCCAACATTTGCGACATAACGTATAAAAATCCTCATATGACATATCTGTGTTTACGTGATCGTTGTACACATGTTTGAGATTGGTACCATCTTGTTTAAAAAGAAGTATCAGATTTGCATTGTCACGTATAAGATGCTTTGGTATCCTCGCGTACGTCTGACAAAGATAGAAACAGTCGACACTTGAGTGACGATCCATTGCAAAATATTCTCGTATCGTATCTTGTTTGTCACATGCCACGTCATCAAAGATAAAAATGGAATTTGGAAGTGCTTCATTTGGCGGAATCACATCGCTATTATTAGAAAAGGTAAAGTAACCGATTTCATCTACTGATGAAAGTGCACTCTCTAGATAGTGATATTTTGGTTGTTGCAACGATTTTGAATACACGTACACGTTCTCAAAGCGTACACCGTGTGGACTTTCAAGCAAGCTTAACATTACATTTGTCTTGCCACAATTCGAAGGACCGCACACAATACCGCGTATAGTAACCGGTAGCATTATTCCATGTCTGCGTATTGTTTTGTCAAACATTTGTCGAGTTTTGCTGTCAAAATTAGTTACTTTGATTACCTTAGGTTGCCGCACGAACTGCATGGTTTCTTTGCAACTGTCTGTCTGTCTAACAAGTAGCACCTATTTATAATGACGCGTCGAGCATTTTCTACTCAGTCGTCAGAAGACCACTGATGTCAAACGTATTATGCAATCTATGTCAGGTCGTGGATTGTTTAATCGCGTGATAAACGCTCTTCCTGTCGAATTACATATTCCGGGCTACCAATTTTGTGGCCCGGGAACGCGTTTGGAAAAACGATTAGCTAGAGGCGATCGGGGAATTAATCCATTAGACGCGGCTTGCTGTGAACACGATATAGCTTATTCGCGAAGCAACAAACTCGCTGCTCGACACGTAGCTGATAACGCACTTGCTGCGAAGACGCGCGATCGTATTACAGCGGCAGACTCGAGTCTCGGTGAGAAAGCCGCTGCGACCGCCGTGTGGGCGGCTATAAAAGCAAAGACAAAACTCGGCATGGGCTTGAAAAAGAAAAGCAAGTCAGCAAAACGGAAGCGAATACTTCCAATTGCTAAACGCGGCAGTGTGTTACCGATCCTACCACTGGGTGCTCTCGGTGCACTTGTTGATGGAACGGCGGGAGTTGCAAAAACGGTAAATGATACAAGAGCTACGCAGCGACAGCTAGAAGAAATGCAGCGTCATAATCGCGCGATGGAAGGTCGGGGAATTTATCTGACTCCGTACGGACGGGGACTTTCAAAGAAGAAGAAGAAAAAAAAACGCTGAAAAG